AACCAGTCTAACACAATTTATTTTCAATTATGGTAGTGAAATGACAACTACCACCAGAACAAAACTTCACACAGGTTTTTATAGCGTACAGCACAGAAGAAAACGATAACTATGTAGTGTTCCTATTTATAATGCAGTATGGAAGTTGACCGTCAAGTGAACGAACAGTGATAAACAGGAGATATCACTGATTATTTTAAATTGGGGGAAGCATTTCATTTATCAGGTGGTGTGTATGTGTGTATTGGTGTGTAAAGTTGTAACATCTTGGTTATTTTTTTAAAGACCTTTTTATTCCATGAATATGCTGGTGACTGTAACAAAATGTTCAAAACATGAATATTCTCTAACCTATGCCTGACGTTAGTTGCCATGGAGTTGATTCCAACTCATGGCAACCCCATGTGTGCAGAGTACAACTACACAACAGGATTTTCAAGGCTGTGACTTTTTGGAAACAGATTGCCAGGCCTGTCTTCTGAGGAGCCTCTGGGTGGGTTTGAACTGCAGACCTTTCAGATAGTATTTAGGATTCAGTATTTCTCAATGGGTCCACAAATGGGTAAGAAAAACAGAGTATACGTAATTCCCGACACATCTTAGATTTGACTTCACCTTTAAAAACATCTCATTTTCGTTTTAGTTAAACAAGGTACACGTGCCTGAAAAGTAAATCCAGCATTATATGCAAACAATAGAATTTTCCCTGATTCCTATATTTAAGCATGATTACACATAATTTTAACAAGCATAGGCCACTGGAATAGCAATTTGCTATTTTCCAGGGTTGTGTTATTGATCATAGCAGAAAAGGAACGAGAAGGTTCACTTCTTTCCAAGTGCCATGATTACACTGTGTCCATACAGTTCTCAATAATGCCAGAAGCTTATGCCAAGCCTCCATCTCATGATTCTTCCCACTGGAGAAATTCTTAGAAAATTTTCCCCAAAGGGAAGGATCAGTTGATTGCTATCCATGTGCAGTAATCTAGTTTTCTAAAGATGATGAAAGGAAATCAATAATTTTTCGAGATTTGTGAGTCAAAGCCCAGAAAAATGATAATTAATCCAAGAGCAGGTTCAACGTCATCACTTGCACAGGAGACTGTTGCTTTTATCAGTTCTTCCTTCAGCCAGTAACGGAACCACTTCCTATGTTTGGCACATTCGTATCCACTTGTTAGCACCCACCACACAGTAGTTATTATAGTAAACCTAGAACACCTTTTATTTATTCTAGATTTTATTTACTCTTTTTTTTTTTTTTTTTAACTCTAGCTCAGAATCAGAAATGTGAAGTAAAGAAGGGGGATATTCTATCTTGGAGGAACTAAGAAACATCCACAACCCAGAACAGTAGTGTAAGCTGAGTGGGAAAATTCAGTGCAAAATGGTCCAGGGCAGGGAAGAATGTCAAGAAAGGTGTGGATCTCTGTGTCTCTCTCCAAAGGTGGTTGTACACACAAAGAAGCCAACCCACGACCACTTGTTTAAAACAAATAGGTCAGGCTATCTGTGCAGAATGGTAGGAGAGGATGTTCCGAGCAAGAAGCCATACATATATGTCATACTCATAAGCTGCATGCTTTTAGTGTGGCTATTGAGAAATGGAGTGAAAAGCAGTCCCACTGCAGTGTAACAAATCTTGTGTTTCATCCTTTGCCGTGCTTCACTGGGTGATACAATGATATCCCAAGAGCTCAAGCTGGAGTCCTACATTCAAGGGTGAATGTTGGTGAGAGAGAATTGTAAGCCACTGTCTTAGGTACCTAGAGCTGCTATAACAGAAGTATCACAAGAAGATGGCTTCAGTAAACGTGAATTTATTTTCTCACAGTCTAGGAGGCTAGAAGTCCAAATTCAGGGTGTCAGCTCTTGGGGAAGGCTTTCTCTTTCTGTTGTCCCTGGAGGAAGGTTCTTGTCTTTTCTGAGTTTCTGCTCCTGGACAGTCTTCATCTGGCTTGGCATATCTCTTCCTCATCTCTGCTTTGCTCACTTATTTAATCTCCTTTATATCTCAAAACAGATTGACTCAAAATGCATTCTACACTAATCATGCCTCATTAACATAGCAAAGACAATCCATTCCCAAATGGGATTATAACCACAGACATAGAGATTCGGATTTACACCACGTATTTTGGGGAGACATAATTCAATCCATAACAACCACAGACCACAACTGAGGTTTCTTATTAGTCTAACTTACTCACCGTCCCCTACTCCCACTCTTTTCTATAGCAAATAGCTGGTCCAGGAAAATCTTTCCCCTTAAAGATGAGACAGTTAAAAATGATCAAGCATAGGCTCTATGCCAAGGCAGAAAGGAGTATAAGATACTAAAACTTGCCTGTAACCTGTACCATATCTTGATCACTCACTGCATGGTCATGTAGAAGAACTTATCATTACCATATCTTTAACTATACTTGTTCAATCTGTATGTTGAGCAAATAATCCAAGAAGCTGGACTATATGAGTAAGAATACAACATAAGGATTGGAGGAAGACAAACTGAGATATGCAGATGACACAACCTTTCTTGCTTATAGCAAAGAGGACTCGCAGCACTTATTGATGAAGATCAAAGACAGCAGCCTTTGGTATGGATTACACCGCAACATAAAGGAAACAAAATACTCACAAATGGACCAATAAGCAACATCATGATAAATGGAGAAAAGATTGAAGTTCCCAAGGATTTCATTTTACTTGGATCCACAATCAATGCCCATGGAAGCAGCTGTCAGGAAATCAAAAAAACATATTGCCTTGGGCAAACCTGCTGCAAAAGATCTCTTTAAACTGTTAAAAAGTAAATATGTCACTCTGAGGACTAAGGTGCACTTGACCGAAGCCACGGTATTTTCAATCACCTTATATGCAAGCGAAAGTTGGACAATGAACAAGGAAAACCGATGAAAAATTGATGCATTTGAATCATGGTTTGACAAAGAATATGGAATATACCATGGACCAACAGAAGAATGAACAAATCTGTCTTGGAAGATGTACAGCCAGAATGCTCCTTAGAGGCAAGAATGGTGAGACTTTGTCTCACATGCTTTGGACGTGTTATCAGGAGGAACCAGTCCTTGGAGAAGGACATCATACTTGGTAAAGGAGACGGTTGGTGAAAACAAGGATGTCTCTCAACAAGACGAATTGACACGGTGACTACAACAACGGGCTCCAACTGAGCAATGATTTTGAGGATGGCATAGGACCGGACGGTATTCCATTATGTTGTACACAGGGTCACTGTGAGTCAGAACTGACTCGAAGGCACCTAACAACAACAACAACCATGACCATTCACTTTGAAGCTTCCAAAAGCTCAATTTCCACCCTCCTGTCTGATCATCGACCGCTCTTTATAGTATCCTGACTTCAATAATTCTCAACTTCAGGAAGACCTCCAGTCATTCAACCTTGCCATGGTTTATTTTTAACATCCTTACATCCTCTCATAGTCATGAAGTTGCTGGAATAAAAATAAACTAGTTTTCAAGGAATTATATACTACTAAAATTAGAGAGTAATTCTTCCCTTTGGGCTTCATAAAAATAGTATTTCATTAAAATGTAAAGAATATTCTCAACAGTATGTTGAGGAAAAAATTAGCAACAGGAAGGAGAAACAGAGTCTTCCCTTTAACAACTTTCAATACATGCAAGTCACATAATTCTGGAATTCAAGTCAGTTGAACAATAAGTTGGAAAACATAAAAATGATTCAACCTTGATCTAAAGAAAGCTTTATATTTTCTAGAAGTAGAAATTGACCTAACAGTCATATGTTTCATGCGATTTTGCACAAATATTGTTTCTTTTAATTAAACGCTTAATACTTACCGAATAGTTGTGAATTCTGTATCACACTCGCAGATTAATACTTGCTATGTAGATAAACCGTGTTGTCAGCTAAAGGCAGAGTCATATGCTTAGATAAAATGACAGAATCTTATAAAGATGTCTAACAAGGATACATGCCTGAAGAGGGGGTCATTCAACCTCTGTAGAGGTGACCCAAGGAATACCTGAGGACAAAGCCAAGATTCTTTTCCAGACGTAATGTTGGGCCTGCTCTGGGGCCCTGGTGGCGCCAGAGGTAAGCATTTGGTTGCTAACCGAAAGGTCAGCAGTTTAAATTCACGAGCGACTCTTTGTAAATCCTATGGGATAGTCATACTCTGTCCTATAGGGTTGCTATGATCAGAATTGACTTGATGGCACTGTTTATTTTTTTTTTCTGTACCCTATAACTCCAACACCTAAACAGTGCCTGACACATAGTTGACCTTCAATAAACAGTTTGTGAATGATTAAATGAATAAACAGCATACTTCAGTTAATAAATTCTTGTGTAGTTAACATTTCAGACAGAGCAAAGTTTAAAATAGATTTATAGTTTAGGCTCGTTGGTATGCATATTTCATTACAATTGTCTTGTAATGAAAAGAGGTTTGATTCTGCATATTTTTTTTTCTTCTGAAGGCCATAAATATATACATTTTGTTTCATAAATGGGTTGTAACATTAATTTAAGAGAAAGAACATTCAAAAGGATATGTTGATTTAAATATTCAGTAGGGGACGAACAATTTTATTAGAATTTGTTTTATTTTATAAAATACGTAGAATAAAACAGAGTCAGTATTTACATTTTAGTAGTACCAATTGCAGATAACAGGCAGAAAATGGACCAAGAAGATGAATCTATAAATTGTAATGTTTGTACTGTCAACACATCTGTGTAGCCATTTGGTATCCCTAAAATCAATAAATTAAATACCTTTCTCTCATGTTTTAAATTACACTGTTTTCCTGGCCTATTGTAACTAAATGTAAGAAGAATTGAGTATCCTTTTGAGACTGTTTATGAAAATAATGTTCATATCAGCAGAAATAAACCAGTTGTTCATCTTCTACATTGTGAAGGCAATAATGAATAATGTCCCTTTTTTTTTTTAATGGTTACTTTGTGTTTCCCATTTTCAGAAATCGAAAAGGGAGGATGTGGAGACCCAGGAATTCCTGCCTATGGGAAACGGACAGGCAGTCGTTTTCTCCATGGAGACGCCCTGACCTTTGAATGCCAGGCTGCCTTTGAGTTGGTGGGGGAGAGAGTTATCACCTGTCAGCAGAACAATCAGTGGTCAGGCAACAAGCCCAGTTGTGTATGTGAGTACAGCGCCTTGACTTGGCCCACTCTGGTCTGCAACTGCCTTGCAAGGGGAAAGAAGAAGAAAGAAGCAAAGCAAGCACTGAGAGAGGGCCTCTTTCAGAATAGCTGGGCACTGCTTCATTTACCAGAAACACACAAGGACGTTTTCAGACACCAACTTCCCTGCTTTCTTCACTTAATTAAAACTAATTAATGACCGTATTATGTCTGTTAAGTAAAATGTAGTTGAGATTTTTTTACTAGAAAGAACATAAAACACACGAGTGCTTCCCTCAATAGCTTCTCATGACATACTGTAGTGACATCAACAGACCAGTGGAGTCTTTGAAGACTTAATAACATAGTATAAAACCGAAACACGAGGTGATCGACAGTGTGCTATGTGGGCGGTAGTATCGGTTTGGAATTCAGTTGAATAACTGCCTGGTGCTCCTAAGTATAGTGTTTTAGCAAGTAGAAAAATATTTAACAGTTAAAAGGAATTTTTTTCTTATAATTAAATATAACAATAACTGGAAGACATATATGAAATCTTGTGCAATTAGAAGCAAAACCATACCGTAGACGTAAATCCAACAGTTTTCTCTCCGAAAGGGGAACCATCTCTATATCTATATCTATACATCTTTAAGTACACATTCTTAAAAGTAATTTTTCAAGAGATTTTTATATTGACCAACTAGAACATGGTACAGTTTTCAAAGTTATTAGTTTATTCATCTTTACCCTGTGACTAATAAAAAAATTTAAGAAACTTAAAAAAGATTAACTTTAAAGGTAAATATAAAATAAAACAATAAAAATGAAAAGGCAGAAAACGGAATAAAAAGAATATTATTTTATGGAAAATTATTTCTATGATACATATATTTTCATGTTAATATTTGTTCACCTGAAGGCAGGATAGTTATTACTAGAAATTATAACATTTCAGTCAATTCGATAGAATGATTTTTAATCAAGCCTGTAATTGATTACGTACAGGCTCTACTTGTGTTATATAAGATCATGAAATACTCTAGTTACAACTTAGGGAAAAAGAGAACTGTATGATCCTGAGTTACCAATAACAACTGTTATCTGCAGATATGGATTTACCTTCCAAGTTCTTAGCCATCAGTTTCGGGGAGCCAGCGCTCTGGATTTTGTGCGAAATTATTTGAAAATCTCCTTGTGTCTTCACAGTTTCATGCTTCTTCAACTTTACTGCGCCGTCAGGGATTATTCTCTCCCCAAACTATCCAGAGGAATACGGGAACAACATGAACTGCGTTTGGTTGATTATATCTGAGCCAGGAAGCAGAATTCACCTCATTTTTAATGATTTTGATGTGGAACCTCAGTTTGACTTCCTTGCAGTCAAAGATGACGGGATTTCTGATATAACAGTTCTTGGAACTTTTTCTGGCAATGAAGTACCTTCCCAGCTGGCCAGCAGTGGGCACATCGTCCGTCTGGAATTTCAGTCTGATCACTCCACTACTGGCAGAGGGTTCAACATCACGTACACAAGTAAGAACTCCTACACAAACATCGCTTTCGTGTTCCCACTTTATTTACAAATGTGTGAAGTTGAATTTCAAGGTTGGTATTTCAGACGTTTTGTCATGATTATAAGAATAATAAGAGTAGAAGAATTACACAGCATCATTCCTGTAACCTAAAAGAACACATCACCTATCTAGAATAGTGTTTGGTCACACCTGTAGTAAAGAACTGGATCTTTCTCCTTTCTTCTCTCTCTCTTTGGATGTTATCCATCCATCTGTCCAACCATCCATCCATCCATCCGTCCATCTATCCATCCTTCCTTAATGCAACAAAATACTGTAGTAAAAAAGTATTGAGGCATTTAAAGTTAGGCATAGACTCGAATCCCAGCATTTGTATATACTTAGTGGATTTTGATAAGACAGCTAGCCTCTCTTTGCCCAGGTTCCTCACTTGAAAAACCAATATAATAGGAACATTTACTTAAATGCATTGTTGAGGGAACAAAATGAAATAATAAAAATGTTAATATGAGTAACAGTTATCATTTATTGATTGCTTACTTCTTTTAGGCACTGTGCTTAGAATTTACCAGTAATTATTCCATTTAATGCTATAGCAACTGGGATAGATGCTTGAGAGTTCTCATTCTGTAAATAAAGATAGCTACACTCAGATCATTAATCTGCCCAAAATCAGATAAAAAGCACAGGAGCCAATATCGTAACCTGGATTTATCTGAACCTATACCCTTTCTGCGGCCTCTTGTATTCCTTGTCATAATTTCTTCAAGCGTATGAACAGCGCTTTTCAAAGTGTAAAGTGCTATAGAGATGATAATTATATCTATTTATCCATCGTGTTTTCTCTCTCACTTTCTCTCAAATTCTCAGTAGCTACTGATCCTTTTTATTTAATGTTTTTATTTATCTGACTATGAATGATGTAACTGACATTTGGGGCACAAGTTGCCGCATATTTTGTATTTCCTTCATCTTTCAGTACACATGATTAATATTCAAGCATTTTTACTCTAGTTATACTTTTGTCCTTTTCCTTCCCAGCATTTGGTCAGAATGAGTGCCATGATCCTGGCATTCCCATAAATGGACGACGTTTTGGTGATAGGTTTCTGCTTGGGAGTTCCGTTTCTTTCCACTGTGACGACGGCTTTGTCAAAACCCAGGGGTCGGAGTCCATCACGTGCATCCTGCAGGACGGAAACGTTGTTTGGAGTTCCACCGTTCCCCGCTGTGAAGGTGCGTGTCTGGCATCACTGAGCAGAGCCTCTTCTTTTAAAATGGTACTTCTAATTTAAAAACAAATAAACAAGAAACGTAGTTTTTAGTTAGTTGTTCTGTTACTCTTACTATAAAAAAAACACTTTGCAGTTGAGTTGATTCCGCCTCACAGCCACCCTAGAAGACAGAGTAGAACTGCCCCCATAGGGTTTCCAAGGAGCTACTGGTAGATTCAAACCGCCAACCTCTTGGTTAGTAGCTGAGCTCTTAACCACTATGCCACCCAGGCTTCAGTCTTACCATAGCTGACATATAATACCTAATATTCTTCTTAGCGTTTCTATGGTTGTTAATGGTTGCCTATGTTATAAAACCAGACACAATTTTATAAAGGAGAAAGATAGTACCTCAAATTATGACTCATTTTAAAAACCTTTACTTGAAATATAAGCTCACATCTCCCCTATCAGAATAGTCCATGCACAGTAAATTAAAAAACACTTTTTTAATGTATCGTCAGTAAATAATAAACAAATACAAAATTGAAAGGAAAAGTAAAATCTCATTCTTGTGGATTAGATTGGCAAAGATTTAAAAATATTAATATGATATAATATTGGAAAGGTTGTGGGGGAACTGGCATTTCCTGGCCATGCTATTGAGGGTGTACAATCATGCCATCTTGATATAAATTTGTATTAAGGGTCTTAAATTTTTTCTTGTGTTTTGAGCTGTAAATCATTCTTCTGTATCAATATCATAAGGAAACACTCAGGCAACAGTGAAAGATATTTGTTTAAGAATGTTGTTTGCAGCACTATTTATAACAGTGAAGGACTGGGAAAAGCTAAACTCCAAACAATAGAGATTGGTTAAATAAGTTATGATGCATTCCTACCCCAGGCTAACATACATCATTCACAAAGATTATGACATGAAAGTTGCTCGTGCTGCGTTATGATGTAGAACACCACATTGTAAAACCACATGTGTAGTAATACCTCATTTTTAAACATGCAAATATATCTGCATCTCGTAATAATAATTTTTTTTAACACTGAAAAAGGTACATACCAAAGTGTTAACTGTGGTTATGAATGCTTTTTCTCTTTTTATTTTTATTTTCTTGTCTTGATTTAATGTTTCTTCCATAATAAGTAAATAGAAAATAAATACATCAAACATAGCGTATTATACTATATAAGATTACTATCCTATGTAGAATGCCTTCACATTCCATCACCAAGCCTGTGATCCTTTCAAACTCTGCAGCTAGTCTAATCAAAGCCACAGTCTGACTGTAGAAGGACTAAACTCCTAAACGTCTAATCAGCAGCGTGGAGCATTTGGGTTATGCTATACTACACTAACCCGCCCCCAGCGCTACCTTCACAATTATTCACCATTATCTTAAGGAGGAACTTAAGTACTATTGACAGCATTGGCTGCAGTGTTAAAATTACTGAAAGATATTCTATTTTACACTTTTGTAAATTGTTAAAACAATTCGGTGGGCAATGAGCATCACCAGGGTATATAAAATTGATAGATTGAAGGACGAGAAAAGAATATAATTTTTATAGTTATTATTAAATGTTTTTCATTTATACTTTTATGTTTTACATTTTATGAACTGTTAACAAATTAATAGGTTCTTTTTCCTTTACAAATAAATGAATAGACACATAGGAGTGCTCAGATATATGACGCGAAGTTGTTGTTCCGTTGCTCGTCTGTCAGTTTGTCATACTGTGGCACTTTGTGGCTTGCTGTGATGCTGGAAGCTATGCCACTTGTATTTCAAATGTGAGCAGGATCATCCTTGGTGGACAGGTTTCACTGGAACTTCCAAATTAAGACATACTGGGAAGAAGGACCTGGTAATCTACTTTTGAAAAAATTGGGCAGTGAAGACCTTATGAATAGCAGCAGAACATTGTCTGCTACAGTGCCAGAAGATGAGCCCCTCAGGTTGGAAGGCACTCAGAATAAGACTGGGGAAGGGCTGGCTCTTTAAACTGGAGTTGACATTAATAACACAGATAGAGTCAAGCTTTTGGGAGCTTCATTTGCTGAAGTGGCACGACTGAAAATGAGAAGAAATAGCTGCAAACATCTATTAGTGATTGGAATGTGGAATGTACAAAGTATGAATGTAAGAAAATTGGAAGTTGTCAAAAATGAAAGGGAATGTTTAAAGATCAGTATCCTAGGCATTAGTGAGCTGAAATGGACTGGTATTGGCCATTTTGAATCATATGGTCTACGCCAGGGATAACAAATTAAAGAGAAACGGCAGTACATTCATTGTCAAAAAGAACATATTAAAATCCATCCTGAATTACGATGTGCTCAGTGATAGAATAATATCCATATGCCTGCAAGGAAGACCAGTTAATACAACTATTATTCAAATTTACATACCAACCACTAATGCCAAAGATGAAGAAATTGAAGATGTTTACCAGCTGAACTTGATCAAACATGCAATCAGGATGCATTAATAATTACTGGTGATTGTAATGCAAAAGGTGGAAAGTAGTTGGAAAATATGGCCTTGGTGATAGAAACGATACCAGAGATTGCATGATAGAATTATGCAAGATCAATGATTTATTGATTGGAAATACCTTTTTGAATAACATAAATAGCGACTATACACGTGGATCTTTCCAAATGGAGTAAACAGGAATTAAATCGACTACATCTGTAGAAAGAGATGATGTAGACACTTGATATCATCAGTCAGAACAAGGCCAGGGACTGATTATGGAACAGTCTATCAATTGCTACTATGCAAGGTGAAGTTGAAGCTGAAGAAAATTAGAACAAGCACAGGAGAGCAAAAGTACAGCCTTGAGCATATCCCACCTGAATTTAGAGACCATCTCAAGAATGAATTTGGTGCACTGAACACTAATGATCCAACATCAGATGAATTTTGGGATGACGTGAAGAAAGCAAAATGTGATTAAAAAAATAGTAAAGAAAGAAAAGACCAAAATGTATGTCAGAAGAAACTCTGAACTGTGCTCTTGAATGATGAGTAGCTAAAGTGAACGGAAGAAATAAAGAAGTGAAACAGTTTAACAGATTTCAAAGGGCAGCTCGAGAAGACAAAGTAGAGAATTATAATGAAAATGTGCAAAGACCTATGGTTGGAAAACCTAAAGGGAAGCAAATGCTTTGGCATTTCTCAAGCTGAAAGAACTGAAGAAAACATTCAAGCCTCGAGTTGCAATATTGAAGGATTCCACAAAGAAAATATTAAATGATGCAGAAAGTATCAAAAGAAAATGGAGGGAATACACAGAGTCACTGTACCAAAAGAATTGTTCAGCATTCAACCATTTCAGGATGTATCATATGATCAAGAACCAATGGTATTGAAGAAAGAAATCCAAGCTACACTTCAGGCATAGGAGAAAAGCAAGGCTATAGGAATTAACTGAATACCAATGGAAGTGTTTCAATAAATTGATGCAGTGCTAGAGGTGTGCACTCATCTATGCCAAGAAATGTGGAAGAGAGCTACTTGACCAACCGACTGGAAGAGACACATATCTGTGCCCATTCCAAAGAAGGTGATCCAACAGAATATGGAAATTATTGTACAGTATCATTGGTATCATGCGTAAGTAAAATTTTGCTGAAGATAATTCAAAAATGGTTGCAGCAGTACATCAAATGGGGACTGCTGAAACTCAAGCCGGATTCAGAAGAGGATGTGGAATGAGGTGGAATGAGGGTTATCATTGCTGATGTCAGATGGATCATGGCTGAAAGCAGAGAATACCAGAAAAAACGTTGCCAGTGTTTTACTAACTATGCAAAGACATTCGACCGTATGGACTATAACAAATTATGTATAACACTGCGAATAATGGGAATTCCAGAACACTTAATTGTGCTCATTAGGAACCTGTAAATAGACCAAGAGGTGGTTCAAACAGAACAAGGGGATACTGCAAAGTTTAAAGTCAGTAAAGATGTGTGTCAGGATTGTATCCTTTCACTATATTTATTTAATCTGTATGCTGAAGAAATAATCCAAGAAGCTGGACTATATGTAGAAGAACACAGCATCAGGATTGGAAGAAGACTCAGTAACAACCTGCATTATGCAGATGACAGAATCTCGCTTGCTGAAAGTTAAGGGGACTTGAAGCACTTACTGATGAAGATCAAAGACCATAGCCTTCAGTATGGATTTCACCCTGAATGTAAAGAAAACAAAAATCCTCACAACCGAACCAATAAGCAACATCATGATAAATGGAGAAAAGATTGAAGTTGTCAAGGATTTCATTTTACTTGGATCCACAGTCAACAGCCATGGAAGCAGCAGTCAAGAAGTCGAACCATGCATTGCAGCAGGCAGATCTGCTGCAAAAGACCTCTTCAATATGTTAAGAAGAAAAGATGTCACCTTGAGGACTAAGGTGCACCTGACCCAATCACCTTATACGCATGCGAAAGCTGAATAAGGAATTAGGCAGACCAAAGAAGAATTGATGCCTTTGAATTATGGTATTGGCGAAGAATATTGAATATATCGTGGATTTTAAGAAGAACAAACAAATCTGTCTTGGAAGTAGTACAGCCAGAATGCTCCTTAGAAGTGAAGATGGCGAGACTTCATCTCCCATATTTTGGACATGTTATCAGGAGGCACCAGTCCCTGGAGAAGGACATCATGCTTGGTAAAGTAGAGGGTCACTGAAAAAGAGGAAGACCCTCAAGGAGATGGACTGACGCAGTGGCTGCAACAATGGGCTCAAGCATAACAATGATTATGAGGATGGTGCAGGATCTGGTGGTGTTTCATTCTGTTGTACACAGGGTCACTATGAGTTGGAACCAACTCGATGGCACCTAACTACACATTGCTGTTGTGTGCTGTTGAGTCAGTTCTCACTCATAGGACCCTATACTAATAGCAGTACATAATTAAACATGTTTGCAGATACTGTCCTAGACAATCATAACACTAATGACTTTGAAGCATGAATAATTTCATGAGAAAGAAATTTAAAATAAACACTACTCTCTAGTCTCTGTTCTCTTCTGGCCACAATTTTTGCTGTCACCTGTGTACTTTGTCTCCTAATAGGCTGTGTACAGATGCATTACAAGCTGAAGTTGTAAATATATACTTAAGCAAAATCAGTGGAGTAGAAAAGGCACTAAATTGGCAGGCAATCAAAAGTACAATAAGGGCATATACAAGGGAAAATATTACATTAAATGTGAACAGACACTTCTTTCATTTTTAGGAAGAAACTCAAAATAAATTAAAATGCAAAACTTAGCTATAGTTCTTTAACAAGGAAAACCTTAACACAAAGGAATAGTTAAGGGAGAAAAATATTTTTAAAGTTTACCTGTACTGAGGAACCCCATTACTTAACATAGATCAGTTTTAGAGAGGGTAGATAGATACTTGATAACATGGTTGACTAGATACCTGGATCAGTCCCTCTGCTGAAAAGAAATAGCAATTGAATTTCAGAATTAAAGTAATCTAGTAGGAAAAATTGAATGACAATAAAAAATTTAATAACACAAACAACAAACTCGATTTAATAGATTTGTGTACAACCTCATATCCTTTAGAGAATAATCATATTTTTTCTTTTTTCATGGAATATTTTTTAAATCAATTCTATATTTACTCAGAAAGTGAGCCTTAAATGAGTAAAATCCGTATAGGCCCCTTGCACTGATAGGATTCCAATTAAAAAGAAAACATGTAATAAAATATAAGAACAGGCAAATACATAGAAATCAAAATAACACCTTGTATTAAAGAGGAACTTAAATCTTAACTCATAATCTATTTGGAAAGCAGGGGAAGAACACATTCTATTAAAAATAATACAAGACAGAAAAAATTGAACGAGGAAGACTGTGTATTTAAATGCCCTTGCTGTTGAATAAAATGACAAGAAATACAGGAACTTATAACTAAGATTAAAAAGTTAGAAAAAAATCAAAAATAAATTAGAAGATCATATGAATACACATCAAATATTAAAAAACAGCAATTAAATTCAAAAGTGAGTTCTTTGGTAGTACCAGTGAAATAGACAAATTCTGTATGATTGTGATAAAAGAAGCCAGGAGAGGAGAAAATGATAGTTATTTAAGAAAATAAAAAAGCAATAACCATGATCACACACACAAAAAGGATAACTTTACGTAACAGCAAAAGTAAAAGGCTCATAAGAAAGCAATTTTTAAAGGTATGTTTCTTTATTTATTCTGATAGAATTTACTATAAATCAGCATATTGTGGGTATAAATTGTGCGGCCTCTGGATGAATGATTTCTTTGTATTTATTTGTTCTCTCTCAACCCATTCTTTAGCACAGCTCAGTATCATTACGAACTCAATTATTATTAGGAACAATTTAACTGTATAAGAATACAGCATTAACTCTATGGCAACAAATTTGATATTCCAAAGGAAATTGATGATCTTTTACCAAAATATAAATTACCAAAATTGACTCAAATAAAAAGTGGAAAAATGAGCAATTTACCATAGAAAAGATTTGATAATAATAACCAAAAAGTATATCTGTAGTTACATAGGTAGAAGTGTATGCATACATATGTATTATAAAGCATAAAAGAGTGCATGCATGTGGAAGTATAGGTGTATCTGTAGGCATATGTAAACACATGTTTGTGTGTGCTACGTATGTATCTATATGTATAATAAGGATCATAGGGGGCACAGTTACAGAAACTTCCTTGACATATCCAAATAATTTGTTGGATTGGTTTACAAGGTAAAAAGGCTTAGGACCTTAAGTCTCGTGGGATAGCTTAGTCAACTGGCATAACATAGTTAACATAGTTCTACACCCTGATTTGGTGAGTAGCATCTGAGTTCTTAAAAGAAGTGAATGAAAGAAACCAAGCACTCGAAGAAGAACCTAGTCCACAGGATTAATAGCCCACCGGAACCATGGCCTCTCTAACCTGAGACCAGAAGAACTAGATGATGCCTGGCTACCACTATATATCATTCTGACCAGGGACACAATAAAAAGTTTTCCAGATATGGGAGAAAAATGTAGACCAAAACTCAAATTCCTAAAAAAGGCCAGACCTACTGGGCTGATAGGTATGAGAGGAACCCCCAAAACTATTGCCTTAAGATATGCTTTGAACTTGGAACTGAAGCCATTCCTGGAGGTTACCTTTCAGCCAAATAGTAGATTGGATTATAAAATAAACAGTATCACCCATGAGTAATGTACTCCCTTAAACGATCAACTGAATGAAACCAAACAGTCAATATTTACCCAAAAGCAAAAAGGGTAAGGGAAGCTAGATCAATGGAAACAGAACAAGCAGAATGGAAATAATGAGAATCTGATACACTGTGAAAACTGTAACCAATGTCACAGAAAAATTTGTATAAAAATTTTTAAATGGGAACCTAGTTTGCTGTGTAAACTTTCTCCTAAAACACAATAAAGTATTAAAAAAAATTTTTGAAAGAAGATTAAAGATTGAACATTGAAAAAGACAACACGTGGGGTATCCATGAACCAGAATCAACTAGATAGCAACAGCTTTGGTTTTGGGGGGTCCCTTAGAGGTGCATGAGTGCATTCTTTATCTTTACAGAGAATTTTAGTGTTGTTAAAACAGAAAATAATACACACAAGGTACATGCTTCTTAGTTCAATCAAATATACAAGACCAAATAGGCAGCTCCTACCCAAAAGCAAGATGAGAAGGCAGGAAGGGACAGGAACTGGATGAATGGGCACAGGGAACCCAGGGTGGAAAGGAGGAGGGTGCTGTCACATTGTGGGGATTGCAACCAATGTCACAAAACAATATGTGTATAAATTTTTGAATGAGAAATTAACTTGAGCTGTAAACTTTCACCTAAAGCACAATAAAATTAAAAAAAAAACTATCAGAGATCATGAAAAAGATTTTATATTTTATAAAACCAATATTAATTAGATACCAAAAGCAAATAATACTAAAAAATAAAAACTATAGGAAAAACATGCATGATCAAAATAGATTATTTTAGGAATGCAATATCAGATAATCTGTCAAATTAAAGTTTTCATAAATTAAAGGAGAATTGGTATTCTAAAGACCTCATTCAAATAATTACTTTTTTGTTATTAGTTATGTGAAGGTGAACATCACTGGTGCCGTTTATTCATCAGATATATGGCTGCCCACCAAGGAGGATTTTGCTTCTTGTTCCCCTTTGGTTTGATAGAACTTTGTGACATGTTCCAGACAATTAGTGGAAGTGGAAGTGACATAATCAGCTTCTGACCCAGAGCCTTGCATTGCCTCTTCCAGACCTTTCTCCATTTTCCTTAGCTATTGGAAGAGAGAAGTTGTGGAATAAAGCCACTAGGCATGTAGTGTGTGTGAGGAATAAATATTTCTTATCACAGCTACTAAACTTTTGGAGTTATTTGTTATCACAGTATTTGTTACCTAATCTACGCCAACTGATACAGCAAACTTGAAATTATCACTTAATACTCAGTGTTTAATTTTTTTGATCTACAGTAAAAAAATAAATAACAAAGTCTATTTCATTGGAATAAAGTGATACAAATTCTAAAACTCACCAGTTTCCATGTAGCCAATTCCAACTCATGGTGACCAGATGTGTGTCATAGCAGAAGTGTGGTCCATAGGGTTTTCAATGATTGATTTTTTAGAAATATATTGCTAAGCCTTTGTTCCAAGGCACCTCTGGGTGGACTCGAACCTCCAACCTTTTGGCTAGTAGCTGAGCACATTAACCAATTGCATCATGCAGATTTAGAAATGCCTCAAACCAAAAACCAAACCAAACCCACTGCCACTGAGTGCATTCTGACTTACAGCAACCTTATAAGACAGAGTAGAACTGCCCTATAGGGTTTCCAAGGCTGAAATCTTTACAGAGCAGACTGCCACATATTTCTCCTGTGGGGTGGCTGGTGGGTTCAAACTACAGATCTTTTGGTTAGCAGCCAAGCATTTTAAATTTCTGCAAATTCCTGTTTCTTCTGAGGTGTTACCATCTATTTCATATATTTAGTTTTTGATTAATATCATGTCTCACTCTGCGTTTTCTCTCCTAGCACCATGTGGTGGACATTTGACGGCTTCAAGTGGAGTTATTTTGCCTCCTGGATGGCCGGGATATTATAAAGATTCTTTAAATTGTGAATGGATAATTGAAGCAAAACCAGGACACTCTATCAAAATAACTTTTGATAGGTAAGACTTTTTTTTCTTCCTAAATATGAACCTACGGATTCACGTATACTCAAAGTTTTCATTAAATGGACCTTAAAACTAGAAATGTGACAGTTCTCTATGGGCTCCCCAAAAGGAGTCCACTTCACATGAAATAGGCATTTACTTGATAAGTTTGTTCCTCTTGAATTTTCTTTTTCTAACCCATCGGCTAAGTCACTCCATCCAGCATCCCCCTGACAACCGCTGTCAGCATAATTCTGCAAGAGGTGTGGGGGAATGGTGGTCCCTGAGAACCGTTTCCCAGAGATCACAATATCTGGCCCTTAAATCAGACTATGGATGCAGAACCTGCAGCTAGAATCAACTCTGCTCTGATGCTGTTCATGCGTGGAAGCAGCTCAGGATCCCTCTGGTACCTCAGGTACCTTCTGAAGTAGCACAGGAAAGCACCTCTCTTGCTCTGGTCATGGTTACTGGTAATTGGACAGGAACTTTGGGTTGCAGAGCTGGCAACAGGGTGGGTGCAACAGATTAATTATTTAGTGCTTTCTAGAAAGTATGAGGGATACTGTGACTGAAATGTTTATATTATTCAGTAATAATATTTGATAATCTAAAAAAATTCTGAAAAAATGTTACTCATTTAATTTTCTCCAGTCTTTTCTTTTCAATAACGCACTGTGATATTTTACTAAATTCTATCCCTAGGTATCTCATATTTCTAACATTTTCAGACACTTTTTATTTTCCCCTAAAATTATGCAGTATTAGTTTACACAGTGAACCAGGTTCTAACATTCTAATGAAAGATGTGCTTCTACATATAAATTTTAAATTCCATACTCAAGGTACTATTATATAATATGTGTTAGGTTGCCAGGTAATGAAAAGCATTGAGGTTTTTGTTTACGAGCTTATCCTGGAGATCTTCTGGTTGTTGAGGTGTGCATTATACCTGTCCTAGCTTTTACAAAAGAGCGGATATGAAAACTTAAGTGCAACTACATCAAGTAAGATTTGTTTCATATGTATCTAGTCTTTGTGAATTTGAACTCAGAAAACAGAAATCTTAGAGTTATTAGTGGAAATATTAGCGTCGTCAAAGACAATGTCAGCCCTATCCTTCTCCAAATGCACTAGCCCTGTGACACACAAATTGTTTGACTTTATTTTCTATGAAAGAGTGGAGGTGAGGGTACAAACCCAGTGAGGTACAAGAATATATAAATATACTTCATTTGTGCTAAGAAGAGTATACATAATTTAATGAAAAACAGGGCAAAGCCCTCTGGTTTAAACATCCTTTATTGTTGATCTATGCTATGGAGCTAAGTAAGGAAGCTTCTTTGTCTAGAGTTCTTTCTCTTCATCAGCGATATTCAGTGCAAAGCACGGGAGATAATGGCACAGGTTTCAACGGATTTCTGTGGCTGAAAGTTACTGAGTGAGTCACAGTCTTACAATCAGAGCAAGGTCAGACACTTGGAAACCAGGTTAGCTCTTTGAGGATGAGATGGACCCATTTAGAAAATCATCTCAGTGCCTGGAACAGTACCTTTGTTGCATAAAAGGGTACCCAAGTGGCTGCAACTTTATATAACAGTAATCTCATGCCAGATTGTCTGGAAGCATAATTTCCTTCTTGGAAGAAAAGTTAAGCACATTTTGGAAGCTTTTCTAACTTCTTCAAATCATTAAAGCATCCTTTAGTTTCTGAAGCAGCAATATGCTATATGCTAGTCTAATGTTCTGAAAGAGTTAATGTAACTTAAAAAGGCACAGGATTTTCTTTTTCAGGAAGGGTGTTTAAAGTGTTGTCACGTATTTTGAATTACCCTCCTCCTTGAAGAGATCATTTCATTTCAGCGTGCCCATTTTAAGGTGCCCAAAATCATGTTCAACAGGGGTCACGAACAGTAGGGTGAAAATGCATAATAACTGATAAACTTTCGTGTGTGTTTATTTTTGAAAACTAATTTTCCCCACAGTATTTTTATTTTACAGCTGAATATCTGCTCCCTTTCTTATCAGTAGCCCGTATGGTGCAGTGGTTAAGTGTTCAGCTGCCAACCAAAAGGTCGGCAGTTTGAATCCACCAGCCACTCCTTGGAAACCCTATGGGGCAGGTCCACTTTGTCCTATAGAGTTGCTATGAGTTGGAATTGACTCAAGGGCAATGGGTTTGTGTCTGTGCGGTTACAAGATAGAGCATTAGGAGAAAGTGAGGGATATACAGTGTACTTTTACTTCCAGAAAAAGTCCTTTCCTTAAATATTATATATTGTTAAATTTTAAAAAGTATACATAATTTAAAATATTTTATTTATATTTAATTACAGTGTTTTTATGCAAATAATGTGCACCTTCTACATTTGTTTGTCAACTGTGCCCTCTCCCAAGGTATTTCCATAAGCAAGCTATGTTATTTTTTTTTTATGGCAACATTAAAAAAAAAAATTTGCATAGCAGCACTTACGAAAACACCTCGTGAGGGGAGAGCAAGGTTGGCAAACAAACGTAGAAATTGCGCGTTATTTGTGTAAAAACATGATAATTAATGAGGATATTGCAAGACTGTAAGCTAACGTGGTTTTTGATTTCTCTTCTGACTTGATATACATATTGCAGATTTCAGACTGAAGTCAATTATGACATACTAGAAGTCAGAGATGGACCAGCAAATTCCTCCCCACTGATTGGAGAATACCATGGCACACAAGCACCACAGTTCCTCATAAGTACAGGGAATTTTATGTACCTACTTTTCACCACAGACAATAGCCGCTCCAGCGTTGGCTTCCTCATTCACTATGAAAGTAAGTCAATAAGCATGTCTGAATTTGAGATACATGTTCTTATTTTCTAGCATGCAGATAACGGCTAATTTATTGATTCTATCCAACTTGCCAAAATTGTATAAATAATTGTAAGAGCTTTCTTTTATTTATAAAAGAGAATCTTGGAGATTCTTACTTTAAAGTCTCAAATATATGTATTAGTTGTCTATTATAGAGCAAAAGAATTAAAACATTTTAAATGCATTAATTTACTGCATGAGATAATACATTACTGCTATTAGAAAATATTTGCCGAAAGAGCTGTAAAACATATTACTGAAATTATATATTCTAAGCAATGGATAGGAAGATTATTTGCTAAAAAAATATGTTAAGATAGTTTGTGAGCAGGAGGGGACAGGAAAGCTGGTGATAGGGAACTCAAGGTTGAGAAGGGACAGTGTTGACATGTCTTGGGGTTGTTAACCATTGTCATAGGGCAATATGTGTACTAACTGTTTAATGAGAAGCCATTTGTTCTGTAAACCTTTATCTAAAGTACAAAAAACAAGAATTATCTATGTGAGATCAAATTGACAACAGCAACTCAAAAGTTTTGACTGGAAGCCTAGGGGACAGTGAGTTGAAGATAAGGGTGATGGAATAATTTGGAAAAGGATAGTGAGAATAGTAGCACAACTGGAAGAATGTAATCGATGTCACTGAATTATACATGTAGAAGTTTTTGCAGTGGTGTGTCTTTGGCTAGGCATATTTTCACCAAAAAAAAAAAAAAATGGTTCTCCAAGGTCGAGAAGGGAGAGTGTTGACATGCCTTGGGGTTGTTAACCAATGTCATAAAACAGTATGTGTACTGACTGTTTAATGTGAAACTATTTGGTCTGTAAACCTCCATCTAAAGTACAATAAAAAAATAATTAAAAAAAAAAGATAGTTCGTGATACTTGTTAGTCCATGTAAACAAGTTTCATTGAGTAGAAAACATTCAACTGGGAGGAGAAGAAATTAAAACCAAGCTAAATCTTACCAAAAGCCAAATAATTGTTAGAAATATTTTGACAATGGTTAAAAAAAATTCAAAAAAATTGTTAAACATATTTAAGAACAATTGTTAAAATATTATAATGGACTATATTTTCTGAGACAGTTTCAACCTTAAGCATCCTTTCCCATTTTTGTTTCCATAAATCCAAATTTGGCTTTTATTTTTAGCTTCTGTAATTATTAAATCAAGTCATTATATTATTTTATAACAATATGTGTGAAAGTATACTTACAGAATAGAGCTGAAGGGGATTCCCCCTGGAAATATATTTTTAACAATAGAAAAGAAAAAAGAAAAAAAGCTGTTATTTTTCTCACTGTTTGAAAACGCTTTCCTTTCAGAGTAGAATGAAGGATAAGGGATGAGTAGAGCTTAACATCTGAACATTTGACCTGATGAAATGATACCTTTACTTGCAGAAGTTTTTATGGTTATTTTTAAGAATTTTAGTCCAACAATAAATAAGTTTTATGTTATTTTCAAAGTATGTTTTTACATATATACATGCATATAATTTAACAAAATGCATGAATTGGATCATATCTAGCATGCTAGATATTTAATCTTTTTTTTTCAATTTTTCTTGCCTTTCCCCCACATCACCTTCTGATGCTCATGTTAACCTCTGCCTAACCTCTATCCAGACAACTCAAATTAATAACCTGATATGCATATGTGTCTATGTTCCCGTGCTCATATGATCACATACAAAATAAATACATATCCACATATAGGCTTATGTGTACTTTTTGATAAACATAGAATAATCTTATTTTCTTGATCTAGTATGTATCATCCAACAATATACCTTGTAAATCTATTCAAAGCACCGTTTTCTCTAATTCATTATTTTTAATGTCCATGGAATGTTCCATGCTGCATATGTGAAATAATTAATCCAACCACTCTGCTATTGATGGCTGTTCATTTTGTTTAAAAAAAAAAAAACAGCTCTTTTTTTTCCTTCTTGTGGATATGATGATGACGATCTTATGGCACCATTTATCTGTATGAAAGATTCAATATTGCACTAGTATATTAAGCAGTTAGTTAATCTAACCGGAATATTTGCTGATGTTTAGAATTAATGGTGATTGTATTTTGAATATTTTCATACCACACACAATATACTTACTAACTTGGTATATTATTTGGAGAATCTTCTGCTGTAGAAACTTAGATTTCATAAAATCAGCTGGATTAACGCAATTTAAATATCTAAAGAAAATCCAGATAGTTCCCCATTATTATTAAATGAAGCATTCTTAAATTATTTGAAACTGGATTGCTTCCTTGTGAAATCAGCACAAAAACTTTTGGGCAGTTAACTAGCCCCATTGATTCAAACATCCATCCTAACTTTTGTCCCAAATCCTCCAAATAAACTTTAACCTGAAAACTTACAGGAAGTCTTTTCAGACCTACAAATGATGGCTATATTTTATTGATAGAAAGAAAATTTGATTATTAATGACAAAGATTAATTTCAAATTTAATTCAAAGTCATTACTTATATTTTATAAACGTACATCATTTATTTCTAAATGACATATTTTTAAAAAATAAAAAGTTAACTAGGAAATTTCATATTTCCTTCCTCTTTTATGTTTCTTTTTCACTTTTCTTTGGATTAAAAGATATACGCACATTACAGTCAAATTTCGTGTAACTATATACCTAAGGGTCATGTAACCCTATTCTTAGAAAATGGAGGAAGAGATAAAACACTTCTTGTTCGATACTTAGTAGTTTTACAAATTCAGAAGAAATAATTTCAGGCAGTTTTAGGGCAGCTTGAGATGACAAAGTGAAGTATTATAATGAAATGTACAAAGACCTGGAGTTAGAAAACCAAGAGGGAAGAACACGCTTGGCATTTCTCAAGCTGAAAGAACCGAAGAAAAATTCAAGCCTTGAGTTGCAATATTGAAGGAGTCTATGGCCAAAACATTGAATGATGCAGAAACACCAAAAGAAGACGGAAGGAATACAGAGTCACTGTACCAAAAGGAACTGGTCAACGCTCAACCACTTCAGGAGGTATCATATGGTCAAGTACCAATGGTATTGAAGCAAGAAGTCCAAACCGCACTGAAGGCGTGGGCAGAAAACAAGGCTCCAGGGATTGACTGAAATGTTTCAACAAACAGACGCAGTGCTGGAGGTGCTCACTGGTCTATACCAAGAAATTTGGAAGACAGCTGCCTGGTCAACCAACTGGAGGAGGTCCACATTTGTGCCCATTCCAAAGCAAGGTGATCCAATGGAATGCAGGAATTATTGAACAATCTCACTAATATGACATGAAAGTAAAATTTTGCTGAAGACCATTCAAAAATGTTTGCAGCAGTACATCAAGAGGGAACTGCCAGAAATGTAAGACAGTTTCAGAAGAGGATGTGGAACAAGGGATATCATTGCTGATTTAAATCATGAAAGGACATTGGAAAGAATATCATCTGAGAAGGGCATCACTCTGAAACTTTATTTGTTATCACTTCACTTTATCTATCAATAGTTATATATTTGAAGAAAAACAATGACATGAGTAGAAGCAATTGAGACACAGCATATGGCATTTGTATAAGGAAATGAGTCAGGGAGTTCTGGGATTTTTCACAGAGGTTATCAGCTGGTGTTGCACATGAGGGTTACCTGTGGGTCTTTAAAACAAAACAGATGCTTGAATGCCAGCTCTGATGTTCTAGGTGGCTGTGTCTATGGGTGGTATCCAGACATAAGCAGCTTCATAGAGCTCCGTAACATTTTCAGATGGTCATCCATATTGAAAAAGCATGCTGAAAGAGCAGTTTTCCTCAAACTTCCAAGTACATTAACACTCACCTGGGGATCTTAGTTAAATGGAGACTCCTAAGCCCACTCTACAGATGTTCTTATTTGCTACCCCTGGGTGAGGCCCAGAATTCTGGATGGCTAATCAAATCCTCCAGGTGATTCTAAATGAGGGGGAGGGTAGACACCGCCCAGGCAGACCGTAAGAAGCGCAGAGCCGGGGTTACAGGACAGCGACCTGCAGTCGGGGGAGACGAGGAAGAGCCAGAGGAATAGCAGAGGCAGTGGAAGAGGAAATAATATTATAAGTTATATTATAAACACGTTTATTAAAATGAAGGAAGGAGAAAGCAGAAAGAGATAGCAAAAGGCGAAAAGCATAGAAAAGACAAACATTCCCATCTCCTTTCTAATTTTGAGTGTTTCCAGTACCCTGAGAGGAACTATGTTGTGAAATCAGTATACAGGCACTAGAAAATAATTCATTTCCTCAGCTAACGCAGTTTTGAAAATCAGGTTGTCTATGACCTATGAATGATCAATGTTGATGTCTTCCAGCCATTTAAAAATAATAATACTGCTCCCTGCTCTTTTGTCTTTTGGCATAAATGGTTAGAATTGTAAACCCTTTCTTGCTTTATAAAATTATTGACTACCTTTCTTTCAAGGAGGCCTGGTGCAAAGTGGTTAAAGTGCTCGGCTGCTAATTGAAAGGTTGGCAGTTTGAACCCACCAGCTGAAAGATGTGACAGTCTGCTTCTGTAAAGATTTACAGCCTTGGAAACTCTGTGGGGCAGTTCTACTCTGTCCTATAGAGTTGCTATGAGTTGGAATCGACTTGACGGCAGTGGGTTTGGTTTGGGGTTTGGACCTTTCATACTCAAATAAACCCATTGCTGTCGAGTGGATTCCAACTCCTAGTGACCCTATAGGACAGGGTAGAACTGCCCCATAGAGTTTCCAAGGCTGTAAATCTTTAGGGAAGCAGATTGCAACAGACTCCTGTGGAGCAGCTGGTAGGTTCAAACCACTGACCTTCCGATTAGCAGCAAGTGCTTTAACTACTGAGGCACCAGGGCTCCTTTGTACTCAGAAAGGCATATGGAATCTACTTTATTGACTCAAAACATTGCAGAAATAGCAGCCACGTTGTATTCAAGGATGACTTGTTTTCGCAGTGGTGCCATAAGATAAAATGAGCTAACATAAACAACGTTAACTTCAGAAGCCATTTTTTTTCAAGGTTTTCATAAAAGCAGACCTAGAATTGTGGTTCTGCTTCATGTGCTAAGTCTTGTGAATCGTCACTATCATAAATACAGTGTCCAGTTACAGTTTATCCTTTTATTGTTCTATTCTTTGTAAGAAGTGTGCCACGGTTTCTTTCTATAATAGTAATTGCTGTATCCTTCCAGAGTAATCATTTGCTTTGTTTGTTGATCTTTGAATTACCACTTTAAAATAGCTGATTTTATAGAGAATCGCAAAATAAATGGAATTCTCAACTATATGCAGGTTTTGCATGTAATTTTCCAAGAATTTCTTGGAAATGCTTGCAAAATCATCTTTTAAACAGTATTTCAAGAACAAAGAAAGATTTACTACACATGTATGTATTTAATCTACTGTGTTGATCTGTGCATTGTGTTGTTTTCAAAAAAATTGTGGTAGGGAAAAGAGTATCTCTTTGTTGTGTGTGTGTGTGTGTGTGTAGTTTTCCAAGATTCAGCAACATTTCTTATGACTAGAAAGAGAAACTTGTCAAGACAGAATAGTAACAGATATAATACAAGTGAATATAAAACAGAAAGAGAGAGAGACGAAGAGAGTGAAGAGAAGGAGAGAAGCAGGGACAAAGGTTGAGGGCTGAACCTCAGCAAATCATTTAACATCATTAATTGGCTTAATTTATTAATCTATTTCCTCATTTGTAAAACGAAGCTTTTACCCTCTATTTTAAAACCTTTTGTAGGCTGTGAAAAGTGACTCTCCTAAGGGTTGGCAGATAAAAGATACTTACCAAATATTAATTTCCTTCCTTAGATTAGAACTTTTATAAAGATAGATAGCTTAGGCAACATCCTGCTTATATCAACTGTACATTAATACAATCTGCACATCGATATTGTCAAAGTAATCAACTTCCTTTATTTGATGAACTGCAAATTTATCCAGTCATTTATATTGTAAGAAAGCCAAATAAAAATAAATATATCATTTCTGCCGAAAAATTCATAGTTGCATTGTTTCGAGTAAGAAACACTTGGAACAGAATCTGAATGTGTTCACTGTTTCAATAAAATCCATCCATCCCGTGTTTCTCTTTATATTGTCAGGGCTGGAGACAAAAAGGCAAAGAAAAAGTTCCAAACAATACTTAGAAAAACAGCGTTATACCTCTCCTTCAGAGTAAATTGACTGCCTTATCATCACTGACTGACTTTATTGTAAAGGTCTTGTCCCACTGGAGGGACATCAGCTACATTGCAGTTCGTGTATTATTTCCTGCTGTTATCCTGTGTTCAGATTTCTCAATTCAGGGGAATTGGTAATCAGATCTATAATAATTCTCCCCCTCAGCACTTCTTCCCACATGTGCTTTCTATTCAGATAATTGGTAATGCCAAGAATCTTACTGTCTGTACATCTCAGCTCAATATCTGTGCCCAGTATTTTGTAAAAACAGAGGAATGAGTAAATAATGGAATAATGCTGGCACTAATCAGTAGTTATGACTTTAACATTTTATCCTATTTTTTTGTTCAGTTTCTCAAGAATTCTAGATTTTAATTTCTATGACTTAGTTTCCTCTAACATTTTCCCTCTTTTTTCCTGCAGATTTTGTATGGACAAAGTTTCATTACAATTTAGAAATTTTATTATAAATACTCTACAAATGTGTTAATATTTTCTAAAATAATAATTCCTATTACTGTGATTGGCTGCAGAATGCAATGAACATATTGTTGTCTTGTAATCACAGAAAACCATTGTGCAAAATGGCATATTTGAATTAACTGGTTTTTCCACAAACCCAGAGATGAATTAGTCGCTTTCTTTACTAGAGCTTTTTAACTTAAGGCCCGTCTGTTGAAGGAATTCTTGTCTTGATCTTGATACTGCAGAAACTTCCACCAGTATTATGTATCATTGTGTTCAAAGCATACAATGCATATGTAAATTCTGTGAGGTGTTAGAAGTCACAAAAACTGCCTTAGATGGTGTGTGTGTGTGTGTGTGTATTGTGCGCGCGAGAGAGAGATAGAGACAGAGAGACACAGAGAAACACACAGGGAGAGAGACTTTTGAAAGAAGCAGGGTAGTTGATACATAATATAGCACTATACATAGATGGAAGGGGTAATTTCACATGGCTGCCCTGCTTTCTAAAAGGTCATGACAGTCATACAATGTTGTTGAGGCAGTCCTGTTCTCTAGGTATGTGTTAGTTTTCAGAGAATTATATAGAATGGTTGTTTAAGAAAAAAATCAAATTTTTTGGCTATTTTTTTCCTCTTATTTTTTCGTCTTCTTTGTTTTTTTGAGCATTTCACCATGATAATCTTCTCTATTTTTTTCATTATTGGCTTGGCTGACCTGCATATGTTTCTGTAGCTATTGGATCTCATTTTTAATTATACTGATGGAGAATCTTATCATTTATTAAAGTAATCAATCATTCTCAAATTTCGTTTTATGTATTTGACCTAATGAGGAAAGCTATGTTCATAACTTACATCATTCAAGCTTTGGTAAAAGTATGTAGTAACCTGAAACGATATTCCAAAGATCACTCTTGGGGACTAAACAGCATGAATATTGGTCATATTTAAAGATTATTGGTTCATAGTTCAGATCTTAATTCTAATATACTGAACTTCAGTGGGAGTGTGCTGTATAGCAACTGCAAAGTCTTTTTTTTTTTTTTGTCAGACATAAACATTGCAATGAAACCCTCTCCCTTCACTCTCATTTTCTCCTATATTTTAAAATTTGTATTATTCTAAACATAAAGAGAAATGCAGGTCAGAGAAACAAAACTCTTATAATGACAAGATCATAATTACTTGGCTTTATATAGCACTTTTTTTTTCACATCATTCAGCATAGGCTAATTGTAGCTATCTCAAAAGTGGCTGACTTGAGTGCAAATCTGAAAAAAAATGTATGAATTTATGAAGCAATTTTAGAAAATTAACTCTAGTGCAGATTTAAATCACATTATATGTGGATGTGCTTGGATGTATTTTTGCATATATATGAATGTTGAAATATGACTGCCAAAAGCTAACTGAAACATAAAATATAAAAGAAGAGGAAGGGATGGAGATACAAAACAGAATCTTAGATTTTATTTAGCATGGTTCATTAGTTTTCAAATGAAAGAAAGTAAAATTGAGAGAGGTCAACAAAGTATGTACTTTGTACTACAAAGATATCATCTGGAAAATACACCTAAATGCAAAGAAAACAAAAATTTTCACCACTGGGCTGAAAAACAGCATCATACTAAATGGTGAAGAAATTGAAATTATCAAGGATTTCGTTCTACTTGGATCAACAATCACCCATGGAAGCAGCAGTCAAGAAATTACACAACACATTGCATTGGGTAAATCTATTGCAAAGAACCTCTTTCAAAGCTTAGAAAGCAAAGATGTCACTAAGTTATGCCCGACCCAAGCCATGGTATTTTCAGTTGCGTCATATGCATGTGAAAGCTGGACAATGAAAAGGAAGACCAAAGAAGAACTGACACATTCAAATTGTGGTATTGGTGAAGAACAGTGAACGTACCATGGACTGCCAGAAGCATGAACAAATCAGTCTTTGAGGAAGTACAGCCAGAATGTTCATCAGAAGTGAGGAAGGCAAGACTTTGTCTTGCAAACTTTGGACATGTCATCAGGAAAGACTAATCACTAGAAAAGAACATCATGTTTGGTAAAAGTCAGCAAAAACCCTGGGAAATCCTCAATCATATAGATTGATACAAAAAGTGTAACAATGGGCTAAAACATAGCAAAGATAGCGAGGATGGCACAGGACCAAGTAATGTTTTCTTTCGTTTTATATAAGGTCACCATGAGCCAAAGTCAATTCAATGCCAACTAACAACAAAACAGAAAAACAGGGTCAAATATTGGAAAATGTATTGACTTTGACATTAGTGGATTTTCAGATTAATTTGCATAACATTCCAGGTCTCATGATGTCTGAAAATATTTTATATATGACAATATGTCTTTTCTGTAAACTGGATAAGTATTTATATATAAATATATTTGTGTGTGTGTGTGTTATGCATTTAGGTGTGACCTTAGAGTCAGATTCTTGCCTTGATCCGGGCATTCCTGTGAATGGTCATCGTCATGGCAATAATTTTGGCATCAGGTCTACCGTGACTTTCAGCTGCGATGCAGGATATACACTAAGCGATGATGAACCCCTGATCTGTGAGAGGAACCATCAGTGGAACCATGCGTTACCTAGCTGCGATGGTAGGTGAACCTCAATCCTCAATAAAACTGTAAATCATAAAGAAATGCAGAGAAAATACAAATATTTGAATAGTTTTAATGGCTTGTATATTTTATGGATGTGGTAGAACAAGACTAAAGTGTGATTTTTGTTTCAAAAGTCGTGCACCTTAAAAATATTGTTACTATTTGAAACTTGAAGTTTACCTAAAATCATGAAGTGTACCTCTGTTAGGTACACTATTAGGTAGAACAGCTGTTTGGAAATAAAGAACATAAAATTATGGGCTATCCTTCAACTTTATCCCCACACACTCAAACTTAATAAAGCTTAGTTACATATGGAATTTATTGAACATAGCATGCAGAACAACAGAACTGACTGAATACATGCTTATTCAACTGAATATACTCATATTCAGAATATATACATCTATACATATTCTAGGTTGTAATATCTGATTGTCCTTTGACCCAGGTCAAAACCTTAAACAACTTTCTCTGTGCTTACACAACTGCCTTTAAAGCTCCTTATCGTCTTACAGTGAGCTCTGGTGGCACAATGGTTAAGAACTTGGCTGCTAACCAAAAAGTTGTCAGTTCAAATCTACCAGCCGCTCCTTGGAAACCCTATGGGACAGTTCTACTCTGTCCTATAGAGTCACTATGAGTTGGAACCAACTCGACAACACATAACAATAACAACAGCAGCAACAAATCCCCTTGCAAAGCATTTTTCCCAGGGGCCCTCATTCTGGGACCAAGAGTTCTCAGGAGATCTCTGCACAAATCTACTCTTGGAAATCTCAGAAACTAATATCATTTTTGATTGATATATGTTATTGTATTATAGTGAAGAGTCATAATAAAAAGTTAAGTAAATGGGTTATTTATGATCACTTGTCTAAAATTTTGGGCATTGGCTTTTGGTCACGAATATTATAACATTATTTCTACGACAAAAGAAAATATGAGTTTTCTTCCACATTCAGTACTATTTTGGACTCTAGTCTTTACTCTTGGAACATGATATATGCTTTCATGAAAAACCTTAAATTCTTTAAAATTATGCACTCAAAATAACAGCACTTATGGAACAACTGTTTTTTTTGTTTGTTTAATGGGACAATTATGCTTAGCTGCAGACCACTCAAAACCTTTGAACTTTGTCACCAGAGTGCTACCCCCAAGAGTAATTGGTGTGTTGAGAGAGACCCTGCAAAATACAGGTGGGCAGCCCAGAGTGGCTGTCTCAGGAAGTATTAAAGTCCACATAGCCACCTGAGGGGGAAGCTGGCTTCAAGGCAGTGAGATAGTACAACTGGGAGAAGAGTTTCATTTTCAGTAGGACTGCTATTTAGGTGGACATTTTTGACTGGGGAAGGACTTCTAGGTACATGGCTTAACTTTTGCTTTTCTTATATCAGATCTGAAAGAACTCCTTTTGTGTACTGTAGCTGAATTGAGGAATTTTTTTTCTTTCTTACTATAAATTAAAATTCTACTCTCACTATTTTCATTCCTTTCGCTTGGGAAATTTTTTGTATGATCTGTAATTTTGGTATTGAATTGAATTCTTCTCAAAACGTACGTGCACATTAAAATATTCTGCGTGAATTCTTGATTTCACATTAGTAACTCACTCTTTTTTTTTTTTTTAATATTTCAGTATCTAACCAAGATTATTTTCTATTTCTGTCCAGCAATCTGGACTAATCTTTTCCATGGACTCACCCTCTTCTTCCCCTCTACCAGACACATACAATAACAGAATATTTATTCTCCTCTGTGTATTTCCATAGCACATTATCTGAATCATTCTCATTCTGCAAGATCAGATTGCACCCAGCCTTCACAGGAATTCTTCTAGAATTTCTCCAGGTCACCAGCATCCTGTGTTCCTGACCCCAGTTCTCCTTACATGCAGTTCCATAAAGTTTCAACTTATAATCAGTTTTATTATATATATGCATACATGTACACATAGTTGTATGTGCTATGTATATATGTACACATGTACACGTATGTTATATATGTACTTATACACACGTTTCCACACACATAATACAGCCACCTCAATTTTTTAAGCTCCTAGAGAGTAGGAATTGAGGAAGAGTTCATCAACTCCTAGTCATAGCAACCCCATGTGGACAGAGTAGAACTGCTCCATAGGATTTTCAAGACTGTAAACTTTTGGAAGCAGATTATCAGGCCTATCTTCCCAGGTGCCTCTGGGATGGTTTGAACCACCAGCCTTTTGGCTAGTAGTCAAGCGCCTTACTACTTGTGTGACACAGGGGCACCGAGAATCATTCTAGGCAGGATAAACGGCATATCTAGGAGGAGTGGAGTGGGCGTAGATTTTAAGGGGCCTCATAGGCTTTGCAATTAACTAATGAGATGCAGTTATATGTTTGGAGTTTTTCACAGAAAATATATGCACCTTAAACTTTTGCATTTTGCCTCTTTTATTGCCTCCCACTTTAAATTTATGTAAATTTGAAATCTAAACCTTCTAAAGGGGTTGGTAACATAAACTTTCTGGATTCATTGGAACAGAGTTTAGACAACAATCAATTTATGATAAAAGGCTATTAATGAATTTGCTAAACTTTAGGAGATTTTAGAGCTTGATAAGGGAATTTTAGTCAGACATGGTTGACTCTTTTGATTTAACCATTAAAATTGTTTTCATTGTCCTTTGTAATCTTCAGTGATCTCTTAAACCATGTGGGATTTTATTTCAATAAATGATACATAAATAGGATAGTTAAACCTTTAAAAAGTCTCAGAAAGGAAAAGAAAAGAAAAAAACTGATATGGATAGCTAAACCCAAAAAAACCAAATCCTTTGCTCTCAAGTCAATTCCGACTCATAGCAACCCTATAGGACAGCATAGAACTGCCCCATAGGGTTTTCAAGGCTGTAAGTCTTTATGGAAGCAGACTGCCAAATCTTTCTCTCATGGAGCAGCTAGTGGGTTCGAACCACCAACCTCTGTTAGCAGCCGAGTGCTTAACTACTGTGCAACCAGGGCTCCTTCCATGGTTGTCTAAAACAAACAAACAAAAAAAAACAGCTGCAGTCAAGTCGATTCCTATAGGACAGGGTAGAACTATCCAATAGGGTTTCCAAGGAACAGCTGATGGATTCAAACTGCTAACCTTCCGGTTAGCAGCTGAGCTCATAACCACTGCACCACCAGGGCTCCGTAGATGTCTAGTAGGTATCAAACTTCATATATCTGAAAATGAACTCCTGATTTTCTTCTCAAAACCTGCTTCTACCAAAATCTTGCTTCACAGTCAGGCTAAAAACCTCACAGTCATGTCTGGCTCCTCCCATTCCATCACAGTTCTCATAATTAATCAGAAAATCCTACTGGCTCTACCTTCAGAATGTAGCTACTTCTCACCACTTCAACTGCTGATGTTCTAGCACGGTCTCACGAATAAACTTCCTCTTTACCCATGTGACCCCCAATCTATTATCACAAAGTAGACTAGTGATCAGGTTAAAATATAAGAGCATGTTATTTTCTAGCTGAAATCCTTCAATAGTCCCTGAGAGGTACAAATGGTTAACAGCTTGACTATTAGCCAAAAGTATGGTGGTTCAAACCCATCCAGAGGCACCTCGGAAGACAGGCCTGGCAGTCTGCTTCCAAAAGGTCATACAGCCTTGCAAACCCTATGGAGCAGTTCTACTGTGCACGCATGAGTTCACCAAGAGTCAGAATTGACTTCATAACTAACAACAACAACAGAATGTATAAGTAGTCTTTAATCTCACCCAGAGAAATGCCAAGATTCTTATGATGGCTGGCAAGGGCCACACAGGATCTGACTGTCTGTAGACTCTTTGAACCAAGCCCCCATTACTCTTGCCTTCATTTCTCACCATCCCAGCCACTCTGACTTCCTTTCTGTTCTTCCATTAGAGCAGGTACACTCTGTCTTTGTGCCTTTGTCTTTACTGTTTTCTTTCTGCCCAAGTTCTTCCCCCAAATATCCAGAAGATTCATTCATCTTCTTCAAGTCTTTATTCACATGTCACTTTTCTGTTGTGATGGTGGTAAATATATATGTAACAAAACATTTGCCATTTCAACAATCTTCACATGTACAATTCAGTGATGTTAATTACGTCCATCAGGCTGTTCAACCGTTATCCTTTTCTGTTCCCAAATGTTTCCATCACTCTGAACAGGTCAGGGTCCTGTAAGCATTGAGTCTTCCTGTCCCCTCCCTCATTCCTGCCTTTGGTAACCGCTAAAAAAACTTTGGTCTCTACACACTTGCGTATTTTTAATCGTGGGATCATGCAGTATTTGTCCTTGAGTTACTGGTTTATTTCACTCAGCATAATGTTTTCGAGGTCTATCTGTGTTGTAGCATTTATCAGGAATTCATTTCTCTTTATGACTGAGTAGTATCCCATTGTATGTATGAATCAAGTTTTGTTTACTCATTTATCTGTTGATATTTATTTAGGCTATTTCCACCTTTTAGTTATTGTGAATAGTATTGCAAAGAACGCTGAAATACAAGTAGCTATTTGTATTGCTGCTTTCAGTTATTTTGGGTATATATCTAAGGAATGGGATTGCTGGATCATATGGTAGTTTTATGTTTAACTTTTTGAGGAACCACTAAAATGTTCTCCACAGTGACTACCATTTTACAATCCCACCAGCAGGGAGTGAGCGTCCCTCTTTGTCCACAACCTTGACAATACCAGTCATTTCCCGTGTGTTGTTGTTGTTGTTTTCGGGTTTTATCATAGCTACCCGCGTGGATGTAAAGTGATATCTTCTCAGAGTTAATGTAACTCTAAGTTACAGAAGTCTTATATGAAATTATTAAAATATTCTAGAATTCATTAAAAATAATTTTTGTTTTGCTGATTTTTCTAGAGCTCTTTGCATTTGGTTTACATATTTTAAAAGATTATCTGTTCCCTTAAAATGCATTAGTATAGTGAGCATGATGAGGAATTGCTGTATATCAAATCTCTTATGAATTAGCAAATTCATCTGCAAATATTATTTGTGGAGAGAGCTTTTAGGAAACATAACTCAGAATGTGCATATTAATAGGAAAAAAGTTATATTGGATATTAGTTATCAATGACAGTTAACCTTACCTAGTTCAAAAGGAAGGGTAAATATGTATATGTAAAGAATGAGCTAGTAGTGCAATGGTTAAGTGCTGGGCTGCTAAGCCAAACATAGCTGGTTTGCACCCACCAGCATCTCTGCAGGAGAAAAGACCCAGCCATCTGCTTCTATGAAGTTTGTAGTCTAGAAAACCCGACAGGGCAGTCCTACTATCTCACATGGGGTCTCTATGAGTCAAAATCAACTTGACAACACACAACAAAAACAATGAATGAGAATATGTCAAAAGAGAGAGAAAATAAATCCTGTAAAATAATAAAACATAACACTGATTGCTTTTTGTGTGTATTTCAGACAGTGTTCTAAGCTCTTCATATGTATTAACTTATTTCATTCTCATAGGAACTTCTGAATTAGCTATTCTTATTGCTCCCATTTTACGTATTAAAAAAAAAAAATTGCCGTCGAGTCCATTCCAACTCATAGTGACCCTATAGGACAGGGTAGAAATGCCCCTAGGGTTTCCAAGGAGCGACTGGTGGATTCAAACTGCTGACCTTCTGGTTAGCAGCCGAATGCTTAACCACTGCGCTACCAAAGTTGTAAACAGCTTGAAGTGATGTTAAGAAGTCAAGTAAATAGAAGATTGAAAAATAGCTTCGTATTGGATTTGGCAACACTGGTGGTGACTGGTGATTTTGGCAAATTTAGTTCAGGTTGAATAATGAATGATAGAAGCCAGAAGGAGGGAAGGAATTAACTGTCCAACAAAAATGTTTTAGGTACAGCACCTGAGTAAATAAAAAAAGCATCCAAACGCTTAACCACTGTGCCACCAGGGCTCCGTTTTACATATAAAGATGTCAGAACACAGAGGAGTAGAGAAACTTGTTAAAGAACATCAACTAGGAAGTGGTGCTAATGTGAAAGGGATCTTTGCTGAAAGCAGGGAATACCCAGAGAGATGTTTACTGTGTTTTATTGACTATGCAAAGGTATTCGACTGTGTAGATCATAACAAATTATGGACAACATTGCTAAGAATGGGAATTCCAGAATAATTATGCTCATGAGGAACCTGTACATAGATCAAGAGGCAGTTGTTCAGACAGAACAAGGGGATACTGCATGGTATAAAGTCAGGAAAGGTGTGCATCAGGGTTGTATCCTTCCACCATACCTATTCAATCTGTATGCTGAGCAAATAATCTCAGAAGTTGGACTATATGAAGAAGAATGGGGCATCAGGTATGGAGGAAGACTCATTAACAACCTGCGATATGCAGATGACACAACCTTGCTTGCTGAAATTGAAGAGTACTCGAAGCACTTACTGATGAAGATCAAAGATCACAGCCTTCAGTATGGATTACACCTCAACATAAAGAAAACAAAAATCTTCACAACTGGACCAATAAACAACATCAGGATAAATGGAGAAAATATTGACTTTGTAAAGGATTTCATTTTAATTGGATCTACAATCAATGCCCATGGAAGCAGCAGTCAAGAAATTAAAACAATGCATTGCATTGGCCCAATCTGCTGCAAAAGACCTCTTTAAAGTGTTAAAAAGCAAAGATGGCACCTTGAAGACTAAGGTGCGCCTGACCCAAGCCATGGTATTTTCAGTTGCCTCATATCCATGTGAAAGCTGGACAATGAATGAATAAAGAAGACTAAAGAAGAATTGATGTCTTGAATTATGGTGTTGACAAAGAATTTGTAATATATTATGGACTGCCAGAAGAATGAACGTATCTGTCTTGGAAGAAGTATAGCCAGAATGCTCCTTAGAAGTGAGGATGGCAAAACTTCATCTCACTCTGAGCAAGTTATCAGGAGGGACAAGTCACTGGAGTAAGTAGTCACTGGTAAAGCAGAGGGTCAGCGAAAAAGAGGAAGACCCTCAAAGAGATGGATTGACGCAGTCGATGCAACAATGGGCTCAAACATAGCAACGATTTTGAGTATGACCAGGACTGGACAACCTTCTGTTCTGTTGCACATAGGGTCGCTATGAGTCAGAGCTGACTCAACAACAACCGGAAGTGGAGGAGCTGGAGTAAGAACCAGGGCTTTCTGGGTCTAGAGCCTGTGCTGTCCCAATCCAATGTGGAAATGACTAATGAGATTAGCCAGACCCGGATGATATTGAGGCACAGGGCTGTGTGTTTGCAGAACCAGAACTAAATTCATCTTTCCTGTCTCCTAGTTTGATTAAATCATCTTTTATTCATTTTCAGTTCAATTCTTTCATTCACACTAAAGCTTTATAGGTTTTAAAATAGGAAAGAAAGGAAAAAACATAGGCAAGGACATGTGAATAGTCTCCCCTTGATGCTTGCAAAGTTGGGGCATATAAAGTTTATTCAAATTATTACATTTTGTTATCTTAAAGATTGTGTATGTTTTAATAACAGATAATATGTTCTTAAATATTTAGTATGTGTTAGAAACCAGTTGCTGTCAACGCCATTCCAATTCACAGCAACCCCATGTGTGTTAAAGTAAAACTGTGCTCAATAGGGTTTTCAATGGCTGATGTTTTAGAAGTAGATTATCGAGCTTTTCTTCCCAGGTGCCTCTAGGTGGACTTGAACCTCTACCCTTGGGTTAGCAGATGGGCATCTTAACTGTTCTCATCACCCAGGGTCTCCTTAGCATATATTGCTGTTGATGTGTGCTGTAGAGTTGATTCTGACTCACAGTAACCCTGTAGGACAGAGTAGAACTGCCCCATTGAGCTTTCAAGGCTGTAATTTTTACTGAAGCAGACTGTCACACATGTTTCTCTCTTGGAGTGGCTGGTGGGTTCGAACTGCCAACCTTTCAGTTAGCAGCCCAGCACTCAACACTGCGCCACCAAGGCTCAGACCCTGCGAATTGTATTTTGCAATGGCAATTATTTTAAATCCCTACCCTACGAAATGGAAATTATCACTCTGTCCCTTTTAATGATAAGAAAACCATAAAAGAGGGAAGGCAAGTAACTCACCTGTATCACAAAGCTCGAAAATAGCAGAGCCAGGGTTTGACTCCTAACCTTATGGTGTCAGAGTCTGAGCACTTAAATTTTATGTTGATACCCTGAACGTCACTACTTTCTTCTTGACACGATTATAACTTTATTTTTCTTTCTTCAAAAATGAGTTTCTTAGGCAGTTTTGGAATCATCCTATTTTGATGCCGGGGATTTAAGTTCAAGACGAACATTCCTAGCAAATGCAAATCTGCATCTTTCCTGCAGCTCTGTGTGTGTGTGTGTGTGTGTGTGTGTGTGTGTGTTAACTCACATTCTAGGTTACATGCTGTGCCTTACTCTGTGTTATTTTCCTAGGTTTTCTACTGTTTAAGGTACCCATATATTACCCGGCATATCATAATTGCAAGCAAAACAGAGTATTGCTTTTGTTTTGATTTTCATGCGTATGACATTAGAACTTTTTTAGTCCTCGTGCAAATGTCATTTTAAAATTAGTTTATTCCAGCAATTATTATGAAACTTTGGTAGTACAGTAATCTTGCCTTGTTGTTTTAAGCCCTGTGTGGAGGCTACATACATGGGAAGAGTGGAACAGTCCTTTCTCCTGGATTTCCAGATTTCTATCCAAACTCCCTAAACTGTACGTGGACCGTCGAAGTGTCTCATGGAAAGGGTAAGAATACGATATGGATTTCAAATATACAAACTAATAAACAGGATAAAAGCATATTGGCATAAAAAAAGTGTTAATCTCTGACACTGTAAAACTAGAGTCATTATATATATATATTCATATATATATCAGCAGCTAATTTTGATTTTTTTTTTAACATTTGACAAGAAAAAATGCCTTTAAATTACTGGTGCATGGCAAAAGAAGCTTCCCTGTTTTGCTATGTAATATCAGATAACTCAAATGTCTGCAAGTAAGATTAAAAATTAGGTATAATGTTAAAGAATAGAGGCATAGGCTGAAAAAATGAATATTATTAAATAAAAAGGAAAAGAAGAAATAGGTTAAACTTCTAATTTCTAGAGAAATCCTGAATAATATTTTAAAATTTATTTTATGGTTAAGTTTACCCAGTATTGTCACACATAATGTATCATTTATCTTCACATATCCCAAGGATGTTTTATAAAGTGGACATTATTATCTTCATTTTACATATAAATATATTGAGTACTTCAGAAATTTGCATTTGTGAAAGAAATGTAGCTCGTAAAACACTGCATTTAAGACAGTATCCTGGGTTTTCTATGACAACTTTGTAATTTTTAAGAAGTCAATTTTGTATTTTGATCACATAGATATTGTGTAGATTTTGTCTTTCCGTACAATTCTGGACTCAATTGGAGATTAAATTGACATAGTTCATTATATTCACTGTATTACACTCTGCTAGCATGAATACATAGTAAAGAAGAACAGAGTCCTGACGGAAACGAAGAATAAAGCTGTAATATCATGATGAGTAACTCATGCTTTGTAAACATAAAAATGAAGACTGTCATTAAATAGTGTCTATTCACAGTGAAGTTTATTCATTTTCAGTACAGGAATTCAGAAATAATACTTTGTGTGTATAGTTAATATGAGAATATGCATGTCGAGTATACACAGAATAAATAAAATCTTGATTTCAAGGAAGTTTTACCTCAATATAAGTTTATGTACTAGACCTCCAAGCCAATATTTTCTATAGGACACTTGTTTAGTGTAAATGGGAAAGCTATCTGCCCATTGTCCCGATGGTACCCCGCGGTGAATAGTGACTATTCATTGATACCGTTCACTGTAAAAGTTCTGCCAGGTTGTAGTTCTTACAAGTATGTAAATATTTATTTATTTCTGCTCTTTCCTCTCTTCCTTCTTTCCTTTCTAAAGCCACCTTCTTTCTACCCATTCTCTATTTTCCTCTCCAACTTCAAAGTTTGGTTTTCATATTTAGATAAAAAACCAACTCAACACTTGGATGTCTATAACCCAGAATAAATTATTTTTTCGCACCTGTTAACTATAATTTAAAAGAATGAGACCAAAGAAAGTGTGAAATAAATATAAACTCTTCCAGAGATAATGTTGGTATTGTTGTGTCATGCTGGGTATGGGAAGGGTGGGAAAGAGAGAGGAGGAGAGAGAAAGGTTTGCTATTTCTCAGCAAAATATTGCCACCTGGGTAGCTGATAATTGCACCTAGCCCACACACAGAAAGTGGTTACAGGGTAATAACAGAAGAGGCTAAACCTTCGTTTAAATACACTCTGTAATGCGATGGGATTAGGTAATAACAATCCAGTTGAATTCACTCTAGTTTGATGTGTGTCTGACATAAACATTTAAATGATTTTTCTAGTGTATTTTTGAAATATGTTTATTCAGTAGAATAACTCAAAGTAGGTTACTCAGTATCTTCATGCAGCCTGTAATAATGGACAATGGAATATAAAAGGTCCTTAAAAGTAACTGAAAGTAGTGTTTTTTTTTAAATCTCTCTCAGGAGTTCAGATGATCTTTCACACTTTTCACCTCGAGAGTTCCCATGACTATTTACTGATCACGGAGGATGGAAGTTTTACAGAGCCTGTCGCCAGACTCACTGGTTCTGTATTGCCCCATACTATTAAGGCAGGTCTCTTTGGAAATTTCACTGCCCAGCTTCGGTTCATATCAGACTTTTCAATTTCGTATGAAGGCTTCAACATCACATTTTCAGGTCTGTTGACTTCCTGTGCTGTTTCTCTCCTCTGGCAATAAAAGTGCCATTACTCTGTGTGTGTGTATGTGTGTGTGTGTGTGTGTGTGTGTGATTATAGGTAAAATGCCAACTAATGGTATGCATAGCTGGAAAAATTTAGGAAATTATTAGCTGATTAAGGCTAGGAAATTAAGTATTATTTGCATTATGAATTATAATACATAGATAATATTTACTATCTGTATGGATTAGATTAATTTTAATAACTCTATGATCTACATTACTGGTGGCGTAATGATTAAGAGCTATGGCTGCTGACCAAACGGTCAGCAGTTCGAATCTACCAGGCTCTCTTTGGAAACTGTATGGAGCAGTTCTGCTCTGTCCTATAGGGTTGCTATGAGTTGGAATCGACTTGACGACAACAGTTTCGGTTTTTTGGTTTTTATGATTTACATAAGGACCCTGGGCGGTGCACTGGTTAAGCATACATATTAATATTGCCATTTTACAGATGAGAGAACAATTACATATATTTAAAAACTGGTCATACATGTATGAGGTACAAGTACGCAAACAATGTTCAATGAGCATATGACGCTCATTTGTGGGACCTTCGCTATATCTCTGATACACTCTCTGTCCACAGAATGGAGATCACTTCTCTACTGTTACTAATGGGTTTAAACAATTATATTCACTTGAGCCGGTCTATATGATGCTTTGAAAAAGAGTATTTTTTCACCACATTTTTCATAACCCAGATCTAGTATAATTTTTAAAAGGTGGTCCCAGAGTTCCATAATCACATATGACTCCTTCTACTTTTAAACTCATGTAAGATCCTTATTAACTTCCTGAAATGTATGAGATTCTTTGTTATCATATTTGAGTGCTTGTCTTACCTCCTCTACTAAATATGTAACCTTTGACAGGAGGGATTCTGTTCGGGCCACCTTCACATCACTTGCAGCACTATTCCTGTGTGTTATACATTACCAGTTTTGCTAGTTGCCTTGAAATTGATTCCAACTCATGGTGACCCCATGTGTGTCAGAGTAGAATTGTGCTCCATAGTTTTATTATTATTATTATAAAAATATATGTAACGGAATATTTGCCAATTCAACAGTTTTTGCTTGTATATTTAAATTAAACCGATTGTATCAATCATGTTGTGCAACCATCACTAACATCCATTACCAGCATCCGCATTTTCCATCCCCATAAATGGAAACTCAATGCTAGCTAAACAAAGATTCTCCTCTTTCTCCTCCCTTCATGCCCGTGGCAAGCACTGTTGAACACTGGTCTTTATACATTTGTTTATTCTAAGTCTTTCATACTGCTAAGATTCTACAATACTTTTTGTAATTGACTTACTTCACTTAGCAATGTCTTCAAGGTTCGTCCATGTTGTGGCGTCTGTTAAGACTTCATTCCTCTTGTTGGCAGAGTAATATTCCATTGTGTGTACTTTTGCTGTGGAAACACCACGTATCTGTTTAGGTTTAAAAACAAGCAGTTTTATTATGGCAAAGAAAGTGTTCCGCAAACCACGTTCTGTAAAACAGGGAGACGTGGTGCTGGGAGAAATGCAACACTGTGCTCTGGAGGGCTACAGTAATACGAAGATTTATAAAGAAAGAAACCCTCAAGCAGCAGATTACAGCTAAAAAGTTTGATTGGTTAACTTTTTTTTTTAACATTTACAAAGCTGTAGGTGGCGGTGCCTCTGTTGACGGTCCTGGCAGGTGTTGACATCTTTTGCAGGAGCGCCTCTAGGTGACAGGATGCCGGATGACCACGGAAACCAGACATTGTCTGGCATCTAGACATCTGTAGTCCACGCTACAATTGAGTTACTTTAGCATTAGGACGGAGGATTCTGTTGAAATATAAAATAAAAAGTTCTAGGATGATTATATGTAATGCTTAAGGAGGCAAAAAGGTTTTTGATACAGAAGAGCCATAACTTTGTAACATTAGTTTATTCTAATTATAAGTTTTAAGGGCAGTTAGGTCCCCCTTGGGTTTAGGCTGAACAAGATTACAAAAAAATAGCAGGCTTGGTAACGACCTGGGCACAGGGTAGAAAAACATTTTCTGAGGGAGGGCAGAGGGGGCTTTTCCTGAGAACTGGGATCGCAGTTAGAGTCACATGTTTCCCACCTGTGTAGGTCTTGAATGATCTTTTTCTTTTTTTTTTTTTTTAACCATTGGCCATTTCTAACCACAAGTGCTTCCTCTAGCAGAGTAGGGAGGCAAGAATGACAGGCTGCATTATGTGACAGAAAAGAACTCCAAGTTCCCTGCTGATGAAAACATGGACTTAATAATGGCCTGAGAGATGAATAACAATCAGATTGCAATTTTACCTCTGTAAAATTGAAGTTTGAATGAATTGACTGTAAAATATAAGTCAAATACAAAATATTGTCATTAGTAGTGGTATTTTGGATATTGAATCCCAAAATACAGCAAAAAGTCAGGCATTATATATATATATATATTATATGTATATATATATATATATACATATATATACGTATATTTACTAGATTTAACATTTTCTTCCTGAGATTTGTAATAATTTACAGATTTTTTTTTCTATTTCATTGTTATAGAGCATAGCTTATAGATTGAAAGTAGGCAGGGGAAAAATCGTGGTTCCATACCCTGGTATATTTTAGAGGTGATACTGGCTATGATCAGCTTTCTATCAGTGTAACCTTTTGATGTTGCTTTTATTTTGTGCTCCATGTAAACCAAAAAAACCCAAACCCATTGCCATCAGTTGATTCTGACTCATAGCAACCCTATAAGACAAAGTAGAACTGCCCCATAGGGCTCCAACAGAGTGGCTGATGGATTCAAACCACCGACTTTTTGGTTAGCAGCTGAGCTCTTAACCACTGTGCCACCAGGGCTCCATGCTCCATGTATTAGTTATCAAAAAGCACCTTTCAGAAGAGTACAAGAACTGGCTTTAGCAATTAGAAATACAAATGGAATAATTTCATACACTTAAAGTGACAGTTTTGAAATGGAAGTTACTATTTTTATCTCTTACATTCTGACATGTCTATTTAAAAAATACTATAATTTCCTGCTATATAGCAAAAGAGAACTCGTACTACAAATAAAAAGAATCTACATAACAGTTACAACAGTGTTTCAAGAAAAAAATATATTGGTTGACTTTTTAATAATAGCACTTTCTTTTACTCTTGCTAAATAATTGTTGAGTATTCCCGCAAATTTACTCTGTCTCTTCATGCCTCAGAATATGACTTAGAGCCGTGTGATGATCCTGGTGTCCCTGCCTTCAGCCGAAGGATCGGTTTTCATTTTGGAGTTGGAGACTCTCTGACTTTCTCCTGCTTCCCAGGATATCGCCTAGAAGGTGCAACCAAGCTTATCTGCCTGGGTGGGGGCCGTCGTGTGTGGAGTGCACCTCTGCCAAGGTGTGTGGGTAGGTGGTCACATGCTTTCATTTCATTCATCCAATGGGGAGAGGGCAGGGCACACATCAGGAAGCAGTGTGGAGGCTTGAAAGGAAGTAGGGTAGGAGGCAGCTGGGGGGCTGGACCCAGGTTCAACTCTGCTAACCAGTTGGGAAAATTGCTTAACCAGTGTGAGTTTTGGTTATCTCATGTATACAATAAATCCCTTTCAGCTCTAAAATTTTCTGATTAAAGAAGAGTAAAACTAAAACATGTGTCAAGCATATTTATGAAGAAATATATATATATCATAACTAAAATACTTTGGCACAAAAGAGGAAAAAAATAGCTAGGAGACAGGCACAGTAGCACAACTTCTGACAATTGTGTTGATTAAAAGCAGTAAGATTCTCCCAGTATGTTGATAGTGACCATTTATAATATTAGTTTTTGTTTTTTTTTTCTTTTCAGTTTAATTCTTTGATTGAATGATTATTACATAATCCTTCGAAGTGGACATTATATAAATTTGAGCTTAGTTTTTTCTCAGTGTTCTTGATGAATTCAAGAGATAATTCCAACAAATAATAGAGGTTTTTATGTAGGTACTTTGTAACGAGGTACTATGCTGCCATGCTGGTATTAGGGTGCTGGTTCAATGAGATGGTACTTTTTATCAAGGGGCCCTAGTAGTACAGTGGTTAAAGAGCTTAGCTGCTAACCAAAAGGTTGGCGATTCCACCAGCCACTCGCAGGAAACCCTATGGGGCAGTTCTACTCTGTCCTATAGGGTTGCTATGCGTCGGAATCGACTCGATGGCAATGGGTTTTGTTTTATTTTTGGAGGGGGCAGTTTATCCAGCGTGTCAGGTCATTCACTTCAGACACAGTGTCTAGTACCTGACATTGAGCCATGTTGATCAGTGTTTTATGGGCATTACAGTCTGTTCTTCAAAGTTACAGAAAATTGCTATAATAGCAAAGAAAAGAAAGGAATGGGCATTAGAGATTAACCCTTAATTTTGAATCTTCTGAGTCCATGAGGAATCTATAAATACTTTTCACGCTGATGTTACCAATTGACAAAGTAGAGAGGGATTGGGAAGGTTGAAAAATAAGAGTTTATTACCCATATAAGATAATAAAATATTAATTTAGTATAACCAGATTATTTCTATGATGACACATAATCTCTTTAATTATTGGCAGTATTTATAATTATTGTATGATATAAAAGATAATACTGTCTTTTTGTGTTTTAATGAGTCATACATAATCAGTTAATTAGCATTTTATTATGAATTTTTTAAAACAATATGAATTAAATTATCATTAAACCTTGCCAACACCTATGTCTGTATGTTCAGTTTGGTCATGAATGTTTTTGCGAATTGGATGCAAGTGTTGAATATTGTCTTAAGAAAAAAAAAGTGCTATATTTTGCAGATAATTTTCGGAGTTTTCCTGAGTTGCCTAGAATCCATTCTCCAGGTTAAAATCTCCTGACCAAGATAGTTAAAGATTTGGAAGAAATTCAACTCAATGAAATCAAAACATTCTAAGATATGCAATAGTACATAGTAAATGGATTATAACGTTTCATTTACTAATATTCCATAATATTTAGATTCAGTATATTTCACTGCTATTCAGGTTTGCAGGCTTTTACATTGTTGTCTAAAATAAGAAACAATAAGCAACTAGAATGGAAATAATTGTTAACATTGTTTTGAACACTTCTTTCGGCCAGGCACTGCTCTGAACTCTACATGCATTAACTCATTTAATCCCGATGATTTATGTATGAAGTGAGCAGTACTGTTGTCAATTCCATTTTAAAAAGGAAATATTAAAATACAAAGAAATTAAGAACTTTGCCCAAGATCACAGGGCTGGTAAGATTCAAACCTAGAGAGTGTGAAATTCAGGTATTTAACCACTACACTCTCCTGTGAAAGCACACAGAGAAGGTCTTGGATTTGCCCTTTTTTGTATTTTGCCTTCGGTTTCCTGATTTTCCTTCCAGCCACAATATACCTTTAAATAAATATGTTATTAATGGCATTAAAATTCACCAGTTGATCCATGCAGCACATCTGGGAGTTATCCTTACTTTCTCCCATTCGCTCACTCTCTGCATCTGATCAGTTACTAGTTGTGAGGACTTGGGCCACCTGCGTAGCTCTCACATCAGGCTCCTCTTCTCCATCCCTCCCACTCCTGCCCTGAGCAGCCTCTGGTCATTTACCTCCAGATGACCGTCCCTGACTCCAGTATGGACCTTGTCGATCAATGGTGCGACGGCTGCCAGACCCTCTATAAAATGAAAAGCTCATCATTCCCTCCTTCTAATAGAGCCTGTTAAATACTTCCTAATATGCAGAACAAATCCTCCCTTGCCTATTTATCATGGCATACAGGGTTCTGTGTTCATTTGCCTCTGCCAGACACTCCAACATTTTGCTCAGTTCTCACCCATTTACTCATGTTCAGACAAAATAAAGTCTTCTGAGGTCTATATAATGCCATTCTTTAGCTTATGTCTTTCTACCTGCTGGTCTCTTCTTTAGGAAGGTTCACCCATGCCCACACCCACTTTTCTTTCAGGCTAACTCGTATCTTTTGAGACCCACCACGGATGTTACCTTTTCTGTACCTACTTACCAGCTAACTAGCTGGAGAGTGACCTCCCATGATAGCAACTGTCACTCTGTTAAAATTGTCTTCATTCATTTGTCTCCCCATTAGACTGACAGTTCCTTTGCCTTGGGGGCTATCTTATCCCTGAGATCTGGCTCTCTGCCTTGTTTAATAAATGTTTGTCAAATAAATAAAGATTATTTCCCTCGGAAGCTTCTCTCCTAATCTTGAAGATTTGATTCAGTAGTGGTTTGTGTCTATGTTCTTTCCTTTGAAATCATAAAAATAAGAATGATGGATACACAGCCAAAAGTTGTAAATCCATCCAAAATATCAAGGATATCACTGGAACAATATCTGCAGAATTATAAGCATCCTATTTTACTTTTCCCTAATAAGCATCTGATCTTCAAGAGACTTTCTAGTGAACATCTGAGCTAAAAAACTAGTTTTTCTCTTTATCAGTTCATTTATAAGTGAAAGAAAAATAATCCATGCATTTATTCATTTTAGGGCCATTTTTACCAGTTATTTATTTAAGATGATGAAAATAACATCACTGTACACTCTGTAATGCTCAGCTCCACTAGAAATGCTGACGCTCTCCCTTGTACTGCTTCTCTGTATTTCGCATCACGCACGTTCAAGTTGAGATTGTTTTTCTTTATTTGCAAGTAAAACACACAGTTGCCCACACGAGTGTAAGTAAAAATGAAAATGTGTTAGTGATGTGATGGAACGGTCCATAGGGAAACGTTTATGTGAAGTTTGATTCAAGAGCCACCTCTTCACCCAGGACCTGACTTCTCACCATGTGTGTGTTTGGACAACCTCAGTGCTGGCTTTATCCTCAGGCTCCACGGGCACGTGGTGGAACGCTACCCGCTTGGCTGTATCAACGAGCTCTCATATCATCATCCTTCAGTTTGACAATCTCACTGTCACACTGCCCAGTAGAAGTAAGTTACTCCAAGATTGCTTCTGTGCAAATTCTTGGATTTCCTGATTGGCCCAAATACAATCCCATGCCTGTTACTGATCAGTCATTGTGACCAGGACAGTGGGGTATTCAGACTGGATTAGGACATTTATAAGTCAAACCGTACAACTGTTGAATAATAAGGAAAAGTGACTTTTGTAAAGGGAAAATGTGTTAATTGGGTGATAAAGCAGAGACAAAGTTAGAGCGTAGATATGATGGAGATAGTAACAGCATTCACTACAATTCTCATGTCTAAAACTGCATCTATTACATCCCATTGCAATTATTTGAATGCACATTTTTCTCGGGCAGAGTATTATGCGCCTGCATATCTACTTCAGAATAAGTACTAAATACATATTTGGTAAAAGAATGAAATTAAAATGAATGAAGGAGAGTTATCTTCTTATTGAATAACTGCATTAACTATTTATTGGACAAAGTATGAAGTCCTTGGATAGAATAAAGGAAGAAAAAAAATTAATATTGCTACTCTCAACTGTTTAATGAGTCACAAATATTTCAGAGAGACATAATAAAACATTCTGCCTGTATTTTGACAAACTAAATTTAGCTTTAAATCTTTTACCTAACTCTAGTTAAACATTTTTTCTATGACAATCAACATATGATTTCTATTTCTTTCTTTAATTCTGGTTTTGAAATTTAGAACAAAAATTAAAACCTAGAACTTTTTTCTTTGTAAAATCATAAAGATTGATCCAATAATAAACATTAAAGAAGTAAAGACAGAAATTAAATTAAAGAAGTAAAAACTTCTATGAAAATAAATGGATTAAAAAATTAGGAATAACACTTTATGTGGCTCAAATTTTAGTGAGTAAATTCAAGATTTCATATTTTAAATAAAATAGACTTCTGACAACAATAAACTTGGTTTATAGTTGAAAGAATGTAGATTTTTTTTGTCTCCCTGTATTAGTAAAGCTGTTTTTTTTTATTTCTGTGATTTTCAAATAAAAACCTCCAAAGCATATTCATATGTAACTTAATGAAGATTAATCAGATTGCCAATGTCACAAGGTTCTTAGAAGTCCCAGAAAAATTTCTGCAAATTTTGTTAACTACAACCATACGCTTTTACTTCCAGTCATAACATTAAAAAACTTCTCAGTGAAATGTGAGCCATTGCACAGCCCCAGTAGTATTTAGGTGGAGAAATACATGGAATTTGAACCCAGTTTTGTATATTAAATAGGCAGGTTATATATTTTCAAGTAGAATTTTATAATCAAATAAATCATAAATTAATATCTCCAATATAAAGATACTTCTAAATATTAAATATTTATTAATTCTAACAGATTATATAATTAATTTTACAGGTAAGATGCCTTTGTACAGAAAAATTATCTAAAACATCAATTGAAGTCCTTCTATTATTCA